ACTTCTTTTTTTCCATTTAAAAATAATTAGAGGTTGGGCAGTACTTGCATTATGGCATTTCTTTTTCTCCTGTACTGAAGGAGGCAGTAATTCCTGAAGGCTACTTGTTAGATTTTAGAGGTGGGGAGAGGGTTTTTTTTTCATCTTTCTTTCTTTTTTTCTCACCTGACCCCGAGCTATTCTCAACAGAGATAATGTGGGGAGTGTTCCTAATATTACCTTTATTCCCTAGAAAATGAAATTGCAAATATCTGACTTGTAAGCACCTAGAACCAGGGACTCTTTGCATCTCTTCCCCTATTAACTAGTCAGAGCAGCTGGTACTGGCTCTGAACTAACACAACTCTGACGTTTGCCTAGAAGCTTAAAATCTGATCTCAATTTTCTGTTTGTGTCCTATTGGGATAGTGGTTGTATTTAGAGAAGTGCTAAATAACTCACTTCAGTAATTCTCATTTCTAGTAACTTTCTCCTTTTTTCTAGGAATACATAATCCGAGTTCAGAGGGGAGTTTCACCAGAAAACAGTTGGCAGGTAACTCTTTGAAACTGTGATCCGCATAACCAGGATGATTTTTTAGAAACAATTCAAATATTGTCTCTATTGGGAGGATGAAGTGCTTCAATGCTTTTGGTCTGGAAATGTGAGAAAAACAGTATTGCTGCCAGTTACAGAAGTCACGTTGTCTTCTGCCATTGTGAATATTCCAGGAAAACAGGAAAATCGTGTGTGTTGTGTTCTTACTATGTGTTGTTGTGAGCATCATGTTTAACTCCCAAATGCCTGTTTGCCTTCTGTATTGCTAAAATCACGGCCTTGCTGATGAATGACCGGTGAAAGCTAGAAGTTGTGATGAAGATGCTCATGAAATAATTTTGCTTCTAACATGGGAAAAAACATTGTTTGCAGAGGCCTCCGCTCGCAAATAGTTTTGGAAAAGTAGTTTTAAGATAACATTTAGAAATGTATTTCTGGTTGAGATATTAAAAGCAACTCTTTGCCCTCTGGCAGTGTGGCATAAATCCAGTAGTTTTGAATTTGTACGGAGATTGATTAAAAGAGAAAAAAGAAAAAGAAAAAAAAAGGTTATAAATGGGAATTATGGGTCTCTGATGGATTTTTTGAAGTGTAAAATGCTAATGAGAATGGTAGTATGTTTCCTCAATTTTGTCTTTATATTTTGCAGATTGTGAGGCGATACAGTGACTTTGACTTGCTTAATAATAGTTTGCAGGTAACTTTTACTCTTCATTCGTGAAAATAAAATGTCTGCTGGAAGGATATACTTAAAATGTTTTTGTTTCACCTTTACTCTTACATTTCCTGCAGGATAATTTAGTTTTAACTCAGTGGTACAATTTATGTATAAATAGAGGGGATTGGCTGATAGTGAATCTTTCCCTTCATACTGTGACTTGTTCTGGTTTTGTGTGTTATTATTTGTTCCTTCTTTGATTCAAAGAAAGCCAAGCCACATACCAACCTTATAAATTCAACATTGAAGTGCTATGTGTCTCATTATTTATATTCCTCTAAAAGCGCTTCCAGATGCTGCTTATCATGTGAGGGTTTTCTGTATCACTGAAAAGTGTTCCTTAGTTAAACACTGGACTTGCTGTGCGTTTTCTTTTTCTTTTTTTGCACAGCTATTTCTTTTTATTTTGTGTGGGGAGAAAAGCAGAGTATATGAGTGAGTTGGGGGGTATGCACTGACTCATATATACAGGAATGAAACTCATTACTCAGAGTTTCCATCACCCTAGGTAGACAAGCAAGATAAAAAGCAAGCACTTCTGAGAGATAGAAGATAGGATTTTTTGTTCGTTTTTAAGAGTTTCTCTTCTATTAAATATAGTATCAAATTAGGGGCTTAATACTGCTTCTTTTTCTTTTGTCATCCTTTTTTTTTTTTCTTTTGGGCCCTTTTAATCAGCTATCTGCCCAGTGAAACTTAGTTTGGAAAAACACACAAGGATGTTAAGCTGCAGTCGGAATAAGATAAGAATCAGTTGCAACAGTCTGGAGGCTACACAGCTGCGGGTTTAGTTTTAATTCAATAGCTGGAACTTGGTCGAGTTTTGTGGAATTACTTGTTAAATACACGGTAGAACATAGGAGCTGTTACCATGACCTAGAAACCACGTGTGTTAGATGCGAAATAGAGACAATAAACAGATGACTCCTGCTGCAAAGAAAACTAAGATTTAAGATTAGGTAAGTGTCCACGGGAACACATGGAAATGAGATGGTGCTAGTTGATGTAGCACAGAGTGGTCATCAGAAGTCTTAACCGTAGTCAAATTTTGGTAGAGAACACAGAGAAAGAACTTGGAGGAGGCTTTTTTTTTTCAAAAAAAAGATAGAGTTCATATTTTGCTACAAGTTCCTCTTAACTGTGAGGAACCAAATGTGTTAAGACATGAAAACACTTTGTTGCCATCTCATTTAACTTTCAAATGAGGCAGCGTTAGTAAAAAAAAAAAAAAAAAAAAAGGGTAGTGGATACTTTTGACTTAAATTTAGGTTTGACAGGTACCACACGGTTAGGTCCAAGTGTCAGGTCTAGAAAGTGAAGCTAAGTAGCTTATATGTAATGTAGTAGAGAAAGAGATGCACAGTATAAGTAAAGACCTCAGGAATTTTTTGGACAATAAATTAAATTTGACAGCAACTTGTAGAATGAGATAAGGAGGAATTTGAGGTCAGAGAAAGACTTTTGTAGATGTGAGACATGCAGCACTTCTGAATTCTTTCCTTGCAAATAACTAAGCAACAACATTTCATCAAAATATTCAGGGCTTGTGATTTGCTTTAAAGCACTTCAAGCTCTCAGCTTGTGTATTAAAATTGAGTGAAAAAAGAAAAAAAAGTTAAAAAAATCAGTAAGAAAACACCAAAACTCACCCTCCTATATTCACAACCAAAATGTTCCTGGAAGACAAAAGCTGGAGGTTCTTTGGGGCTTTAAAGGCCTGAGTTTTCCCATTCCCCATGGTGCACTTAGCTTCTGCTTCAGGCTGTCGTGTGTGGACAACTGAGCAGGACTGCACCTTTCTCCTGCTAATCTGCTGCAACCTGCACATTGCTGGTAGGGACTGAGAATTTCGAAGCCAGGCTGGGGGCTGTGACCCCAGCGGCTGCTTGGATGGAGGAGGTGTGTGCCGTGCACCAGCGCTGAGCACCTTGCAAGGGGATGTCCTCCTCCGCGCTCCGTGTGGTGCGTGAGCGGCTGCCGCGGCGTTGGCAGCAAGGGAGCTCGCTTGGATGGTGCATTTTATGGCAGCTCTTGGCTGGAGTTTCCTGAAGAGGCTGCGCTCTCAAGATAAGCGAGTTAATTCCCAGGTGCTTCTGTGGTATCAGCCTGAGCTGGGGCCCGCGCACAGCCCTGCCCCGCTTGGGAGCAGCTGAAGTTGGGACCTCAGCGAGGTGCTTGTCCCTGCTAGAAACTGCTCTTGCCGTGCTACATGTTTGGCCAGAGAGTTGCAAAACCCTGGGGTGAATGTTAGTTTCTGCTGAGAAATACCTATGTTTCCTTTTCTTGTATAAAATATTTTTTTATAATAAACCAGAAACCATATCTGCGATGGTTTCTAGCTCTCAAGTCAAGAATTTGAAGGCAATTATGATGTGATGTGATTTTCAGTGAGTAACTTTAACATCAGAGGTGCATTATATTTTTGTTCAGAAACTTAGTTTTGAATTAAAGGAGGGGTGGTTTGCCAGACACAAAGTTTTTTTTGTGCCTCCAGTGTTAAAATTACATGTAGATGATAAATGTAAGTGCCGTAAATACTGCTTTTGGGCTTATTCTTGGACATTACTTTTCTTCTTTAGGAAGAGTGCTCAGTGGACAGGATGATTTGTGTGTCTCCTGTAATTCGTGTTTGGTTGTAGCTCTTCTCCAGCCCAGAAAAGTGCCAGTGCTGGAGGGAGTGATTCCTGTGTCTGTGAAGAGGAGGGGGAAAAAAGGGAAGGGATGGCTATTTCTGCTCCAGTCAGTTAAACTAATCCCTTATGCATATGTGCAATTTGTTTCTGCAACACACTTTTCTTAAAGATTATCTCCAGTGAAGATGCAGCACACAGAAGGCAGGTGCTTTGATCTGCTGGACAACAATGTGTTGACAACATGAATAATTTATTCTGGCAATTCACGTGACGCAAATGAATATAAATACTGTGTGCAACCTAGATCATGTTTAGAAAACAACCCTCTCTGATCTGACTTATATAAAGCTCTGGATTTCTGCAGAATTTTCTACTTTCCCATTTCTAAGTATTTCACTGACTTTTTTTTTTAACTGAAGTTTTGTAGCACTTAAGATAAAACAACTATTGTACACCCACTAATAGTTTGAGTTTTTTTCTGGTGTGAAATGCATATAGGTGTCAGAAACTGCACAGCAACAACTTTAGAAATTAAAATTGAAAAGTTGCGCTGTGTTTGAAAGTATGAGTTAAAAAGCTGACAGTAAGGATTTTTACATTACCCATAATGTCCCAGTAGGGGCAAAGGAAACATCAATTTGCACATACATTAAATAAGCATAAATTTCAACATGAGGAAATGGTGGGTTTTGGTTTTTTTGTTTGTTTGTTTTGCTATGGCGAAGTTATGTCAAGAATTGTAAAGAATTTGTCTGAAATTTACATTTAGTAGCTGAGTGCTTTGTGCGGTGATCTTAAATGCGTGAGTCACTAGCAAAAAATTATCTCCTTGCGTTCTTGGCGCAGCTGCATTTGCAAGTCACTTCATACAGGGATGCGAGTTATCTGGCTCCTTGCCCTGATAATAGTACCTAGAAAAAAAACATAACACTTATATATACAAAGTAAAAATGATTCAGTCGTTAACACACAGAAAATCCGAAGTATTACTTTGTATATACACAGAATAAAACACATAGAAAATACAGGAAGTATTTTCAGTCTTGCTAGCTTACTGCCCTGAGGTATTTTGAGAACATGACTGCAAAATAATTATTTTTCCTCTCTTTTTAAGATCTCAACTCTAAGTCTACCTCTTCCTCCAAAAAAATTGATTGGAAATATGGAGCGTGAATTTATAGCTGAAAGACAGAAAGGACTCCAGACCTATCTTGATGTAATTACTACCCATCACATACTGTCCAACTGTGAACTGGTAAAAAAGTTCTTGGATCCAAACAGCTATTCTGTAAACTACACAGGTAAGTGAGGGATTTTACCGCTGCATCACAATTTCATGTGTGCACATCTTCTGTTAATGCTGGCCAGGAGTTACACCAAGGCACAGAGAAAGAAATACTTCAAAATGATCATATTGTGTGTGTGATTATATGTGATAATATTCTTCCAGGTGTGTGCATGGATCATGCTGTAGTTATCAATAGTAAATATTCTCGTTATTCTACACAGATGTGATAAGGGTCAAGCCTTATTTAGGATGAACTTGGGAGAAGGGTGACAATGAGAATAAGAAAAAACCTACAGTGGTGGGGAATCGCTGTCACACTTAGACTGATGTCCTAGTGATCAGTTCTCTTCATTATTGAATATTTCTTCTCTCGCTTTATCCTGCTTCAAGTTCAACCACTGGAAATGGTTGAATTTTTGTCTGGTAGACTGAAGAACTTCCTCTAAGTGCTGCAATGCTACACTGCACATTCAGTTCATAGGCACACCGACTCTTTGCAAAATGCAAACCTTATTTTCATAAGAGCACGACCTACTGAAGCAGGAACTTACTACTTCCTTTTCGCTTGTCTTTCTGCTTTCCCTTTACATAACATCCTTGTTTCTTGCACATAAAAGTGTAAAGAATATTTCCTGGATGTTTTTACAGTAAGTTGTGAAAGAGATGTAAATTATCAGTGAGTCTTTTAAGAATGGAGTTTGCTGGTTAATGCTGAACAAGCAGTTGAAATCCTCTAGGAGATAAGGTGACCTCCGTGTTAATTTTGAGTGCTTTCTTTGGGACTGTTGTTTTCTCAGCAAGTTTTGGGGAAGTTAATAACAATCAAGAGGTTGCCTCTGTTCTCTGGAGAATTTTATTAATTTGTAATTATTTAATATTACAGCAATGAGATGATATGTATTGTCCTGTTCTCTCACTTTCTCCTAGGGTAGTTTTAGATAGAGAAGAGAGAGTACAGAAGAGAAAAAGTGCATTCTTAACTTTTTGAAGTATTTCTATGCCAAGATAGGTGATATTAGAGAAAATCCGTGATGGGCATAATCAATTAATATCCTGCTTGTGTCCCAGCTGTGGGAGGAAAACTCAGTAACCAGAAAGTTGTCCTGTTTTTCAGAAGTGCATGTGGGATTATGACAGCAAAGTACCTTTGTCTGTGCAAAATAGGGCAAAGTGGCAGGTAGCAAAACAAAGAAGTGATTAGTTCATATATAATATTGGTGATGTAGATGCACATTGAAGTTATATAAAAGTTACCGCTTTTACAGGTGTAGCTAAAACATTTCATGACATACTATAGAGTCTACCAAGCTGTGAGTAAATGGTAAACTTGGAAATTAAACTTTAGTATAGGTATAATGCAAATTCAGTAGGATAAGTTTTCCTAAGGCAGTGGTTTCTGTTTTCTCAGTGGATGTAAGTTCTCAGGTTAAAAATGCAAATACCTTTTAACTCTGTTTCTACCTCGTTTTCTTTTAAAATGATTTTGCTGACTTCCTTAATAAAACGAAGTCTGAATTCCTGAAATTTTCCTCCTGGCAAAGAACATTATCTAATATGAATATAATCTAATTAAGTAGTCTGTCTTTTTTTTCCTCCCTCCCAGAAATTGCCCAATGTGCTTCCGATCAGAGCCAAAGTGGGAAGTAGTAGAACCATTAAAAGATATAGGTAAGAAAAGCATGTATTTATGAAAACTTGCCTGTCTCTTTCAAGTATACCAGTTGTCCTTAGAGAAGGATACTATCATTGCCTACAAAACTTGTCCTGCTTTTAAGCCATGTGATTTGGTAACGTTTTAATTAAAACTACCAATGACTTTCATTTCAGGTTGGCGAATACGTAAGAAATATTTCTTAATGAAGATTAGGAATCAACCAAAGGAACGACTAATGTTAAGCTGGGTATGCTTTCATCTTATCCTCAAGTCTTTTTAGTAAACTTGGCTTGTTTCATATGTAGTAACTATCATGTTTGAATGCCAGAGATGCAGATTTAAGAGCTCAAGACTTGAAAGAGTTTTGAAAGCCCTTAGGTGGATGCGCGGTGTGGGAACTACTTGTGTTTCCTTTCTCTGTTGGCAAATCCAGTTTGAATGTTTGTCCTTGGTCATTTGCTCCCATCCTGCACCTCAGTTTACTGTTTCCTTAGTGGTAATGATTATGTAGCTGCTGGCCGTAATATAAATCTGCTCACAGCGAAGAGCAGAGCAATCCTTTTTAAGTTACTGCTTTTCATTGTTGTTGTTGTTGGTTGTTTGGTGGTTTTTTTTTGTTTGTTTTGTTTTGTTTTGTTTTTCTTATTAGGATCTTTAGTTTTGACAAATATACGTGAATTGCTCCTTTGAGGCAGACATGTATTGCTACCAAATTTTTTTTTATTGTTACTAAATGCTTACGCTTCTGTGCTGAATTGTGCTGCAAAAGTAAAAAAGTGCGTTACAAAATCATAACTGTTTGTGAGACTGCTGGGGAGCTGAAATTGCTCAAACATGGGATAGATTTGAGCAATTCCTTCAGTGGAGAGGAAGAAGATGGGAGTTTAAGCCCTATCAGAACACAATTTCCCAGTTTTGGGGTTGACAAAGTAATTCAGTGATGGTAGTGCATGTCAGATACTGAGAAGGGAGGAGACAACAATAATGTCAGATTCTTTGTATAGCGAAACCACAGCCTTTTTTCAGCCTTTTAACATTGGCTTCATGGGATGTTCTTCACAAGGAGTGTATTTCCAAGAAGCTGTCTTAATTTGTGAAGGACGAATATAGATCACATTTTCTTTATGGAATGTAATCTTTTCCCTTACGAGGTCTTTCTTTTTCTTTTATTTCTAGGCTGATCTTGGCCCGGATAAATACTTGTCTGACAAAGACTTACAGTATGCTGTGAAACTTCTTTCTTCCTGTTCCGTGAGTATTACTTGATGACTTTTAAATTGTGCCAGCACAAAGGAAAAGCTCGCAAGGGCTAATCTTGCAAAAGTACATGCAGTCCAGTAGAAATAGTTTGTAATTTTAGAGTTGCTTTCATTTAGAGACCTGCAAACCTTTTAATTAGATTTGCCACACAATGAGGTAACATGTTTTCAGCACAATTATTATGGGTTTGTTACAGGAGCTTTGAGGTTGTGGTTAATTGTGTTTTGTCTTCTGTTGACTTCCTACAGTACTGTGCAATCCCAAGCTTTTGTTTCAGCTTTTCAAGACTTGTAGTCATCTTTGCACTTGCTTTGGGTATAGACTAAGTAACTTGGGCAGTGACAGAATCCAATTGATTAGTTTAAAGTTAATTCAGACATATCTCTTCTTTGGAATCAAGTAAAAATGAATGTACAGTATCTGTCATTTGAAATGTAACCTACAGTATCATCTTTTTCTTTTGGCAGCATCCCTATATTTACAAAGTCACTTTTGCCACCGCCAATGAATCTTCAGCACTGGTTATTAGGCCATTCAGCGAAAAAGGGACACTAAAGGACCTTATTTATAAGGTAATTTTTCTTTTAAGCTCAAACAGTGGAATATTTGCTGTAATGTTAAATGTCTTACTGTTTTTCATCTATTGCTAAGTAAACTGCATTTAATGTTCATGGTACTTGATATATGTCTATTTCTTTAAAGGCAAAACCAAAAGACCCATTCTTGAAGAAGTATTGCAATCCTAAAAAAATTCAAGGTCTTGAACTTCAGCAAATAAAAACATACGGAAGACAAATATTAGAGGTATTTTTTTCTTTTTAATTTATTTACCAGTCAGACTGCCTTTATGATTTAAGTTGTTTCTTACACTGATTCTAATAATGCTAAAAACATTTTAGCTGTGACACTGCAAGGACAATGACTGTAGGAAGATAGATTTATTCTTTCTTTCTTTCTTTTTTTTTTAAAGATCAATTAATTTAACCGATAAAAGAAGACAAAATTTTGAATACCTAAGTTTTATTTCAGTTTTAAAAGAAAAAGAACAGATTTCAAATCTAAATTTAAATGGAGGTTAAGTGCTGGGATTTGAATTTAGATATATCTGAGGGAGGCTATTTCTGCCAAGAAAGGTAGTTAGTACCTGTGGAGCTGAGGTGGGAGAGAGGTAGTAATATATATGTATTTTTTCCCTGAGGGGAAAAAAAAGGAAAAGCAGTATTTTACTGTGGAATGTGTAGGGTGTTTGTTTTCCAACTATTCAGTGTAATTGTGAATTTTTGGTTCAGGTCTCTCTGGGAGGTGATTTTAGGCCTACTTTGAGGATTGGCATCAAATGTTTGTTTTGTGGGAGATGTTACCAGTGAAATGGGAGTGAATAGCCAGGAAAAGGTGATGGTGACAGCTGAGCAAGGGAAACATGGAAGCAGCCTAAAATAGGGGCCTCCTTTATTATGTGTCTAGTATAGGAGCATCTGATATCTTGCGATCATCTTGAGTATCCCATTACAGCACTCCTGCTTTGTGTTTTTTTTGGTTTTTTTTTTAAGGTTTTAAAATTCTTGCATGAGAAAGGATTTCCTTATGGCCATCTTCACTCCGGCAATGTGATGTTGGATGGAGACACATGCAAGTTACTAGACCTAGAAAATTCCTTGTTGGGACTTCCGTCATTTTATCGATCATACTTCTCACAATTCCGGAAAATCAATGTAAGTTTTGAAAAATTAGTTCCATTTATTTGACTCTTGCGCATCCCTCTGTGGAGAACTGACTTGGAGGGGGAAAAAAAAATCCCTCCCTTGCCCCCTTTTTATTCCTGAACCTTTTTCTGTCAAATCCCTTTTCCTCCAAATCACCGTGTGGCTGCACAGAAGTTTATTCCAGCACACTGCAGTGAGGCTGAGGCCCAAAGCAAGCAGGGAGAGCGTGCGAGCACTTTCTTGACACTGATGCTGGCACAAATGTAGCTGAACTGCAGCCTTGTTATAAGGTCCCTTGGCACATTGGGCCGTGTTCACAGGAGTGTGTGTGTTGTCTACCACACTTTGGTTGCACTTGTCTATCTGTGTAACAAATGCAGCTCCTCACTTGGTCTTAAGTGAGGGTAGCAATCAACCTTAGCTGTTACGGCTGCTGTGAAAGTAGATTAGACACTTGTAAGACATCTGCCTCTTCAAAATTCGTATATTAGCTTGTAGAATTTCTCCAAACCATAGGCTTGCACAGCCAAGTACGACCACCCTACAAAATTACTAAACCCAATTTGTCCTGCTGTAGCAATGCAGACTTCTGGCCAGCATCTTGCCTTGCCTTTTAAGTGCTCATTATACTAAACAGCACAAAGCATCACGAGGCAGCTGCTTGCTGACCTTGCTGAACAAGTTCTACAGTGTTGTCAAAGAAACAATCAAAAGTTCATGGTTAGTCCAAATCTGTTGGTGCTATCAAATCTCTAAGCTTTTAATCAGTAAGAGGAGACATTTCTGTCTGAACATGAGTCTAAAATTTAAGAAATATCCTGCCTGGGAGCTTAGCACTTGTTTAAAGTTTGTACAGGCTTAAGGAGGGGTGAAGGGGGCTCTCCTGGGTTTGTTTGGTAGATATTTTTGCTCTCTCTTTATTTGCCTCTGTTTAAAGAGGTAACTGGTGATAATATCTTGAACCTCGTTCTTTGCTGTTTGACTTACACTAAGAAAATGTGCTCTGTTGTTGCTCATATCAATATATGCCTTTCTAAACTGCGGTGTATGAAAAGAGTTTACTCCTTATGCATTTTTACAGAATAAAGTATACAAAAAACACTTACAGGAAGAGAAAAGTAATTTCTTTTGCTTGAGAGGTGTTTTTCTAAACTTCAGTGGAGCTAAAGTTGTGCAGGGAAATGGTTGTGCTTAGGAGTTATCACAGTAGTATCTCTTTCTGTCACCAAATACGATTGTCCTTTATTTCTTCTAATGGATGACTGCATGGTTTCAAACTGTCAGGGTAAAAAAATATATTTTTAAAATTTTTTGTTTGTTTCTCTGCAGACTTTAGAAGGTGTTGATGTGCATTGCTTTGGACACTTACTATATGAAATGACGTATGGAAGACCCCCAGATACAATTCCTGTAGACAGCTTCCCTCCTGCACCATCAGTGTTTGTTGGTTAGTATGCAGGCAAGAAAGTTTCCATCTCAGCTTCTGGATGCTCTGCCTTTTAGCTAAGATGCTGTGAAAGGTCACCCTGAAGACTTTCGAATCCTGCACTTGGAAATGATTATTTAGTAATTTTTTAAAGATGCAAAATATGTTCTTCTTTGAATAGATGTAGCACTTAAATACAGTATTTTTTAAAGCTAAGTGATAAAACAGTCTCTCGTAACTATATGCGTTTATCCTCTGGCCTCACATCTAACAGTCTAGAAAAGTTTGTGCATGTAATAGTAACGTTGTAATAAAAAACAAATGTTACACATCTTCATCACTGCTTAGTTGATGGAATGCTCGGAGGAACACAGCAGTGCCAGACCTTTGTTCTGAATTGTCTGCTATCCTGCAGTGCAAAAATGTGTACATTCCTGTGCTTTCTTTGGCAGTGTCTGTGTTGGAATCCATTCTGACCTGTGAAGCTATGAAGAATGGCATGCCAACTGTTTCACGGCTCTTACAGATGCCGTAAGTCTTAATGTGCTTGTTTTATGCTAATAGTAATGTTTTTAATAATATTACCAGGAAAAAAAAATAGTGCTCTCATTCCTTATTATAAAGGTTTACCCCTCCTTCCGAGGGATGTATAATGTATTCCAAATGAAGCTTTAAAATTATCACTTGATTGAACCCACTCTTTGTGAATGTGATATGTGTTCACTTAACTTTTTTGTTAAGCTGTTGGAGCTGTTGGGAAGGTGCTTTATTTAGTGTGGTGCTGTGATTTGAATGGCAGATTTCTTTCTGGGACAGTTTTCTAGTATGTTCTCAGAACAAAGTATCATGGAATGGACCAACAGCCCATTTTCACACTAACATTGCCCTCTAGTGTCTTTGTTCTGGATAGAGGAACATTAATCGTTTATGCTGTTGCTGATGCCCTAACGAAGAGAGTAAAGCTATTAGTGTAGTTGCTTTAGTTATCTTCGCTCACAAGACCACCAATAGTTAGAATATTGTTACCTTGTTGATTTTTCACACGTTTCTTTTGAATGCTCAAATAACAGTTGTGTTAAGAAAGTTCCTTAAAAAACACAACGACCCTTCAGGTGAAATTCAAAATAACATCCCTGATAATGTTTTGCCTTGGAAGAATCTTGATACTTTTAAAGAAATGGGATACTTGTTTTGAGGAAACTCTTTTCTGCCTTTGGTAATTATAGCTATTCTATCAGTTTTCAAAACATTTCATGTAGACTTAATGACTCTGTCATCTACAGTGACTACATCTGGGGGATTGGACACTGCTAATTTTACAGTCAGCGGGGCTTGGAAACCAAAAAGCTGTATATAAACACCAGAGAAAGAAAACAGTGAGATAGGGATGAGGAGAAAGGAGCAAGAGGGAGTTAGGTGAACAGCGCCAATTGTATTCTCTGTTCTCTGTTTCTGTCTATCTTTTGGGATTATATTCTAATCATTTCTTCTTTTTCATCCACTCACAGATTATTCAGTGATGTCCTGCTAACGAATTCCGAGAAACCCCAGTTTAAGGTAGAGTTGAACACTTACATATTCTTTGTCTTGGCTTACAGATGTGGTGTAAGTGGCAGGCTGGGGATAACTATGCATCAAATGACAGGGTAAAGGACAACTGGATTTATGGTGAGGTCCATCTGTACCTGGCTTGCTTGGCTGGCACACCAAGCAACATCGTAACACCCCTTAAGAGCAAAGCAGGAGGACACAACGTGTCCCATGAGCAGTTCAAGTTAGTTCCTGTGCTGGAGCTAAACCAGTAACTAATCAGTGGCCTGAGTGGAGGCTGCTGAATAATCTGGGTTTGCTAAAACCTGGGGAAATGGACTTTGCTGGTCGCTGAGACCATCAGCACATGCTGCAGCAGAGCCACATCGTGCTCATGTCATTCCTGGCACGCTGCTGTGGGCAGCCACGTGTTGGATCTTGTGATTCTGCCATACGGCAGTTTATCAAAATACTCTAATGCCAGGGGCAGCTAACTATCCTTTCCACTCCTGTCTCCTTCTCTATCCCTTATGTTGGATTAGTAGCCAGATTTGGAGAAGAAAGTGCATATCCAGAGTCCTCAGTTTTGCTTTATTGATGGAACAGTGTCAGAACTTGGGTCTTTACGTAGACAACGTGATCATCTGATTAATGAGTTTTAAGCAGTGAAGTTTGTCATGTTTTGTGCAATGATTTTTTTTCCCCCTTTCTCTTCTGTGTTAGATTCCTACTAAACTAAAAGAGGCATTGAAAGCTTCCAAGGAATGCATAGAAAAAAGATTAACAGAAGAACAGAAATTGGTAACCTTTGCATTTCTTTACTATTTTTCCTACAGATGTTACATTTATTAGTAGATTTGAGTAAGAGAAGTTTTCATCTAGAGATTTTCACTGCCCAATATACAGTATGAAAAGTTGTTAAGCAGGAGTTCTGTGTATGGCATTTCACTTTTATGTGGGGCAGCTTCACTGGTAGTGGCTCCAAAGTTATAGGATCGCTTTAACTGCAGTATAAGGTTCCATCCTCTATCAGCAAGAGTAAATACAGAAGTTAAGTGAAAAATAAACATACAAAGCAACTTGTGTTTCCCATCTCAAGCATGTCCCTTTTCTGACAGCATTTGAGATCTTGGTGTGAGATCTATCTTTGTTTTTCCCTTCATTTTTAAGATTCACCAGCACAGAAGACTGACAAGAGCTCAATCCCATCATGGCTCTGAAGAAGAAAAAAAGAGAAGGAAAATCTTAGCACGAAAGGTAAGCAACTTGTAAGTAAGTTTCTCGCACTCATAAAGAGGTGTGCATCTTTTTGAAGGTGTAGCACGAGCTACCACGGGTATGCTGTTGCATTCTGCTCGGTGTTGGTTTTCTGTAACACTTTCTGGTTGATTTCCTTTCTGCAGCCAGGCGGTGCACTTCCCAAAAAGCAGAGGTTGTAACAGTAGATGACTTGGTTTAATGTGTTTGAACTTACTGTGTGAGAACTGATGTAGTTAACATTTGACATGCAGATGGCAGCCTGCACTGCTTCCTGTTGCCTTATTGAAGGCTTGGAAGCCTTTTTCCAGGCTGCTCCTGCAGAATAGTTCCTGAATTTCTCTTCCTTTTCTCTGGGTCCATTGTCTGCTTTTTCTTTATGAACAGCAGGCCCTGAAGTTGCCCTCTCTGTGTGCCTGGGCATATTTGTGCCTTGGACGCAGAACTGTCTTGCTGCTACTGTCCTTGCAGGAGCACATGCTGGGTGGCAGGGATAGGGATGTTGGGTGTGGGTCCTTGTGTGATGTAGTGGGCAGTCATTACATTTTTTTGTGTCAAAATCAGTCTTGGTCATGGAAAGACATTATTCATTCTCACTATCTGTTTCCTCTGCTTTGTTTAAAGAAGTCAAAACGTTCTGCATGTGAAAGTGGAGAAGAACACTCAGCAAAATACAGCAACTCAAATAACTCAGGTAACTACAGAGATAAGAGGTTGCTTTAACAAAATTAATATAAATGCATAAAAATATACTAAATACGTAATTCCCTCTTTTGTGCCCCATTCCTTCCCTTTCCCTCCCCCTCACACCACCAAATCAGTCACTTAAATCTGTTAATGACATTTGGACGGAAGGTGTTATGTTAATAATTACACTGATTATTTGGGTCATTTAATACTTCAGCCTTTAGAGAGAAACTCTTGTGAATTCTATTCCTTTGGTGTTGACATGAAGGAGCAAATTACCTTTTTAGTTGCTGCTTGTGTATCAAATTCTAAAACAGCAGGGCCTGTGACAAGTCTTCAGTTAGTTTAAAGGAATGGTCTGTACTACTGAACAGTTTAACAGAGTTGACTTGCCTGGCTACCATGTCCAAAAGCAACCTGTTGTGGAATAGTCCAGCTGTGGAGCACAGCAACTGACTGAAATCATCTCTTAGAAGGAGAAATGGGTTGCCATCCGTGCAGTGGCACAACTCTTAAGGAGAACAGAATTTGGACGCTGAAATCCAACAGTCTAAGCAACAGAAAAGAAGCGTTTCCTATTGAGGAATTCTGTTGAGAGTGCTCCTGATGTGTCGGGACCTCCTCTGATACTGTGTGCTGGGAGGCTTCTGTGTTCAGAGGGGGTCTGAGTGACACGGTTCACATGAATGGGGATCTCTCCCTAGATTACAGTGGAAGCAGGATTGCACCTTCAGTCAATAAAGTCAGCCTGTTTCCAACAACCTGTCTTGTCTGACTGTGTTGAATTTTAGCAGCGCAACTTTAGTTACTAGACTGTTGTTTTATTTAGCAGGCTCTGGGGCGAGTTCCCCACTAACATCTCCATCATCCCCCACTCCACCCTCTACAGCAGGTAAGTTCAAAAGCCATTGCAGTGTTTTGTCTTTTTCCTTAGCTTTTCCTTTTTTTTTCTTTTTTTGTCTAAATGTGGGTCTTGTTCCCAAGAACAGCTACGTGATGATGGTCTTCAAAGATGGAATACAGAGATGATATTTATCTCGTATCAACCTAAGTTTCTTTTGAGGGCTGCAGAAAATCTTTTAATACACTTTGTTAGTAACCTTTCTTGCGAGAGACATGCATATGATCCACAGAGTCTAACGTGCTTGCTTTGAAGTCTCTATTGCTCCGGTCTTACTGGCATTGCCACTTTCCAGAAATTCTCTGGGCCTCGTTTTGCACTGTGCATTTTTTCTGACGTTATGGCCTGTGCCCTCTCGAGTATTGTTTTGTGATTCCTTGTTTTTGTGTATTCCCTTTACACCTGTACTGCTATTATGTAGTTTTAGGAGTTTTGTGTTTGACAAACTGAGGCATACATTGTGTAAAGCTTGCCAGTTCCACTACAGTATTAACACCTGCTTAGGCAGAGAAACAAGTCCAAGTCATTTGTGTTAAGAATAATCTCTATTATTTTCGTCCTGTTCCATCTTCTAGTTTGCAAGGTAGCTGTACAAACAGGTTTGTTAGTATTTAGCACAGGTAGTTGAAAGGGGAACATAATCTGCTTAAACAGGCATTGTGCAAAAAAGAAATGCTTGTGAAACTGTAGTTTCATTACATATCTGAATGTTGAGCTGTTATGCACATTTCAGTCTGAAATGCTAGAAAAGGAGCACTGAGAAACATCAGAAGCAAAAGGTGTTAATGGACTGTGCTTCTAGAAGAGGTGTCCATAGCACTGTATGTTGTGATGACTCAGTCATGATTCATAGACCAAACAACTTTCTGCACAGAACAATTTGTTAACTTAAGTGATGCAATCAAATTTGTGTTTGTTGTGAATGATTTTTCAGAGGACATGGCAATCTGTACGCTGTAATTCCCATTAGCTGTGCTCTAATTCAGATTAGTCATTTCTCTTTCAAGTTACTTTTCAAGTACATTGAAGTGTATATTTTAGGAACTGACCTCTTCCAGTTACTCTAACCAATGTAATTACTGTCACTGCATTGCACATAAACTGTTGGCTGGATGTACTAACCCTCAGCTAGAGGGTACATTTCCAATTCTGTATGCCATAAAAAGGCAATTTCTACAAATGCAATGGAAAACCCCATGCCTTCAAAAAGGGTATGTGTTTAGAAAACACTCTCCCCCTGAAATAAAACACATGTAAAAAGTAATTTTAGCTTTAACGTGCCCTTGAACTTGATTGAAAGCTGTTTCAATTTTGAGCATGTCATGCGGGTTTTGTGTAGGGTTGGCCCAAATGTTTCAATTTGGTCCTGATAAAATAGTTATTTTGTCTCAGGATGTAGTTCATCCTGCTGCCAGGGGGCAGGTGGTGACTGTTGGTGACACACGTCGTGTTTGGCACTGTGCAAATTGCCCTACCTGAAAGGGCTTTAGCGCACTGATGGCAGTGGGGCTCTTGGCAGGGTGTGGAGGCATCTGCACCGTTTTAGCAGCACTTTTGTAAGTGGATTTCATAGCAGAAACTTCAGGCTGGCCTGTCCTGGGTGAGAAACCGCATGCAGGGAGCTTTTCAAAGGCTCAGCCACTCTGCGCTTAAACAAATTCCCCTTGAGACTTGGCCTGCAACGGAGTGCCTGTTATGGTCAATGCAAAACTTGCAAAGGACAAAAAAAGATTGCTGTATGGAGCGATTTTATTTTATTTTTTTTTTGATAATGATGGCTGCAACCGTAGCTTTCAGTCAGTGTGTGACCTACTTTGAGGGAGAGGTATCTGCTAGAAATGTCGACTCGAATGGGATTTTTCTAGTTGACCACAATATGTGTATTGAGTTTTTATTGATGAATTGCAAAAGACATGATCATAGTAGTCTTAATTCTGTTCTGGCTTAAAAGCCAGAAGACTGTGAATTACAGTCTTGAAAAGGCCATGAAACTCATTCTCCTTTGTAGTTGGATATGCAAGAGCAGTATGCTTGAGTTGCAGCACTAGATAGTCCCATCAGCTGAACTTTTAATGACTGCATTTTCTTTGTTTGTATGTTTGAGGGTTGATTATTTGATAGTAGATCCAGTGTGGATCTCTGAACCAACCACTTGCTACTGTGTAACCCTGAAGTAATTATTTGGTGTATGCCAAATACAAATTACTGTAGTACCTTATCTTAAATACCTGAGACTTATGGGACCTGAGTTTACTTCCATGCACGAAAGATTCACTGATCTGTAGTTTAATATGTTAGGATGAACACTATAGGTGAGCAGTGCCTTCTCTTACTCTATTGGTTTTAACTTTTATTTATGTACCACTTTCCAATCCATGGAAATTGAGTGTTAAGGATGCACATATCTATTTTAGAAGTTGAATTATGAATTTGTGCCACAGTGTGTTCTTCAGGAGCATTAGGATACTCTTCTGGTGGGGGTTTGAAATTTGAATTAGTGACCTCTAGCTAAGGGGTCGATACAGTCAGTGGAGTTCAGGTGTCACAATATCAGTAAGTCTGAACATTTGCAAACAAGAGACTGGTCAGTGGACACTTTTCAGAAAGGACCAGATTTAGTGCAGAGGTAATTAAACGCTGTCTTTGAATTACGTTTCTTGCGCCGTTGCACATGGAGATTCTGATGCAACGTCTGCATTTCTGATATTCTCTCACGTGTTTGATTCCTTCCCCACCTTGAGCCTCCCAACTCATGCAGTTCTTCAATTCTTGAAAACCTATTCTTTATTTTTTGTGTGTGGTTATGAGCTGGGCTAGAATCAGAAAGGGTGAAGGACATTGTGGTATAGGTTATATAATATTTCACTGCCTCCTCTCTAAATCTGGTAAGCCCATAAAATACCAGCGAGCTCTCTTACAATAAAAGTTTGGCAACCAGCAGTTTCCTGAATGAGGGAAATAGCTACTATAGCTTGACTGGGCTTCCCTGCAGGAATAAAGTGATAGTTGTATGTAACTTTATATTTCTTTTTCTGTGCCACTTGTTGTTTTGAACCCTCCAGTACAGCATATGTTTCATAGAGAGCCATATGGTGCATCTTTTCTGCCCTTCACCTTTCTGTAAGACTATTTTCATGCTGCAGCAAGTGCTTTCCCGAGGGTCTCTGATCCACGCTACATAATTGTAAATGTAGGTGTTAACACTACAGGAAGTGCTCCGTGAATTAATTTTGCCTTCAATAGCTAATCTTCATGCGGATTTCTGGCTAAATAACTCTAAATGCACTTTAATGCTGTAAAGCTTGATTTCTGGCATGTGGAGTTAAAAGCATGTGTGTTGTATTTGTTCATCAAGTATAATAATATTTGAAGCATGGAAAATTGTGGTTCATTAGTCAGAATTGGACAAAATGTTCTGTACCTAATATAAAATAGTTGATCTACTATCAACATATTTTTCAGTGAATAAGACTGTGTTGATTTTTTTGCACTGACTTTCCAGCTAACAATTTCTGTTGTTCGTCCTCTGACACGAGAACCAGATGATTAACTTGTGTCCTCTCTCTTTCTCTGCTGTCCTCAATAGAGCATGCATCATTTTGAACGTGAATTTTCGGAAAAGTAAGCTAATGCTGATTTATCTCTTTAAAGATGCTCTGTTTCTGTCTGGGAAAGTTGAATGCAAATCTTGAACTTGCTTATAGCATTGGGAGGGAACAAAGGAAAGGATCTGATCATTTTAATGGATTGTTTTAATGAAATACAGCATCTTTAAAAACTATCACTAAAATGATTTTCTTTGCATCCCATTCACTCAGCAAAGTTTTTAATACTGTTTGCACAATTGCTGTCACTTTAAATTCATAATTAAGTTTTTGTTTCAATTCAGGCATCAAGTTTACAGCATCTGATATACTTCCTATTCCCTTTAACACATTCTCTTAACAAAAATGCCCCTGTAAAAAACCCTTGGTAAGTTCTTGTTTGAGTGTTTTATTCTTACAGGTGTGTGAGTGAGTAGATGTGTGATTGCCAGCAACTTCTTCCAACCTGTGTGTCAGGAAGGTCTAGTAATAACTGAGGACTTGTCTCACGTCCTTTCCCTAGCAAATACAGGAAAATATTTCACTGTTGAGCACAGAACAAGTTATTCTCTAGATGTGATTGTATTGGAGTCCACCAGAGAGAGGAGCTGTTTTGTACCAAGTCCTGTCAAGAAAGGAAGGACAGCTTGTTTCTGACTGATGAATTAAAATTAATGAACTTGGAGGATTTCCAGCATCATGGTCTTAACTAACAGATTCAGTATGTAATTGCTTATAGCTAGTCACATACCATATCAAAACCTTTATTTATGCATTAAGGCAGAGCTCAGATCTAAAATAGGGTACCACTGCCTGTAATCAGTCTCCCTAAAGCAAGAGTTTCTTTGTTTCTTTTAGCTATATGATATTGTTGGCAGCTCAGGTTCTATAATATCCAGTCTGAGAAATTCAGCAAACTTCCAGGAAGGCAAGTGGCATCTCCTGCTGCTCCGTTGTGCTTTCAGCCCCTGTTCTGAAATAACCAGACCAAAATTCAAAATTAATTACATGGTATCTTGGCCTAATAACATTTAACAATCCAGTCAGTTGGATATATAGTGGCTGTTTGCCTCTATTCATGTTAAATGCATACCTACCTTCTTCCACACCCTGCGTTGCTGTTGGATTTGTATTCTCTTTTGGCCATCGTTTTCATGATCTTTCCTTACTGTATATTATACAACTACTTTCATAGCCTCTTCGGTCTTACCTTGCTGTTCTTGCCCCAAATCTTGTCTTTGTTCCTTGCAGCTTTTGCATCCCTTCCAAGCTGTCCCATTTGTGAGTAGCTTTCTTAGCTCTTTTACGGCAATTCGTGTGATCACAGGTTGCTACATCAGTGCTATAGGGTGTCCTGCTCTTACAGCTTTAATGGGGAACTCGTTCCGAGTCTTGTTCTTCCTTTGGCAACGTATTGAGTTTTGCTTTGCTCTGCGTTACCGGCAGTTCATGCGCATGGGAGAAACAGAAGGTCACTGACCTAAGGGATGGTTTTCCTGTATATCTAATAATATATTGGCCCAGATCTTTGAGTAGTGTGAGAAGGGTTTGGGTAAGTTAATGACCCCAATCTTTCAAAATGCGATTTGCTATTTTGGTTTGTGCTAACATTGTGTAATGTTTTGATTACTTAGGAATCCACATGTAACAGGCATGTTAAACTGTCTTATCTGATCTCTGATATTTCTAGTGGAATTTGGATTTTTTTCTTGAGGGAGGAGAGTAAAGAGAGTGAAGGCTTGAGTCTTAAATGTATTTCCATGTTTTGTCCTCACAGAGTAAGATTTTCATGTAGATGAGAATTTCTCCTGAAGAATTAAAGTGCTTAATCATAGGTGTTGATGAGCAAAACAGAATGACCATGTAAATACTCTGCATTTTGTGCATGTTCTCCTATGACAAAAGTCTCTCTAATGACTGATACAGACTGAAAATGAAGGAGCTTCGAGTTGACTTCCATCTATGATAACTGCATAATTAAAAGAGCAGTTATTTTTTTACTATTGCTGCTATTACTCATTGGTCTGAGAACAAGTGTTAGTGTGCTAGAAACTGTGGGAGAAGCGGAGCACAGAGAACGACTTCGCCTGCTTTGTGGTTTCTGTGCCTGAGCTGTGTCTTTCATGGATACCTCTTGTTCGTGTGCCACAACTTCCTTTAACTGTTTGGTGTCTGCTTGACTTGGTAGCAAGAAGTTCTGCTGTGGTAACCAAGGTCTCTTGATTGGCCTTATGTTACTGTTAGAAAACAGCAAAAAGACATAGTCTTTGCCACTTACTGTATTCCTCTCTGTAGGTCAGAGCTGCCAAAAGCATTTGTTACACTATAGGTGCTGTTCTTCAGTCTAATCTTCCTGTGGAATATTAAAATTCACTGTTGAATTAGTCGTAAGAGCTTAATTGTTATGCCTTTGATCATTGCAGAGTATATTAGCCCATACGGGAGAATCATTTCCCATGCACGTGGTGATGCAATGCCACTTTCACGTGAATGTTCTGTGGGACAGCGAGGGTCACCTTTGAAGCCCTTTGCTCTTGCTCTGTCCTGCACCTTCAACTCCTTGTGTGGGAGCACCGGTGCAATGTGCTGTATTGCACAAGAGTAAGGCCGTTTGGGAGCCTGTGGCTCCCAAATGGTGTGGGGTAAGTGAGGCCGCCTGCACGGAGCTGAGCTGCCAGGAACCACCTCCACGCAGGCCCCGATGCCGGGGTGGCTGCCTGTGCACAGGGAGCCAAGGCAGGAGAGGCAGCAAGGCAGGGCAAGAGCATGAGAGAGGCGACGTGGATGGGCAGAGCGTGGAGACAGGGTTTAAGGTGAAGGGGTAGAAAGCAAGGGTGGGAGCGCAAAGGCGAGGGTGGGCGTACAGGAGGTGTTTGGTGCGAGTGGCAGATTGTTGTGATTCATTCGGTCTGTGAAACGGGTTTGTGAGAGCACATTTGGAAAACATCTAGTACCGTGAAAGTGTAGAACATTTCCCCCCATCCAAATCTTCTATCTGCAGTTAGTAATCTAAAGATGGAATGTAATCAGATCAAGCAGTTATATATAATCAGCTCAGCACAAATTGTACAGCAGTGTGTTCCTTTGTATGAGCAGTGAAGTCTGCCATGGAAATGCAAATAGGTAAAAAGATTCGCTCCCAGTCCTTGTTACTGGTCATAACTCAGAGAGCAACCTGCTTCACTGGGGCCAAACGAGAGCAAAGACAGGATGTCCTCTTGAGTGATCTTCATTTCCCTCAATGTAAGATCACATTTTTGTCACGTTTCGCACCCCTGCATAGGGGGAGGCACTTCAGGCTTGCTCTCAGCGGTGTCTTGGGTGACACAACTTGCCTGCAGATAGAGGGATTTGATCTTTTTGGCATTTTTCATCTGTTCTGTTCCCCACACCCTGCTTGTGCTCAAGGAGTGACATGAGCTGACCTAGTCTAGCTGAGCGGCTGCAGACGGTGCAGCAGGGCCGGAATCAAACTGCATCTTCTCTCCTCGACAGGAGCATCGTCAATACCCCCCGCGCCGCCACCACCGCCCCCAGCAGCTCCACCTCCGAGCACGGAGGCGCCAGCGCAGCCGAGCCCTCAGCCCGCGCCCGGCGCAAGCCGAGGAGCCTTGCTCAGCTCCATCCAAAACTTTCAGAAAGGAACTTTGAAGAAAACAGAGACGTGCGACTACAGCGCTCCCCGGATCAGCTGAGGCTCCTGGTCACCCCACGATTGGATTCGCCCTTCCCCTCCTGTGCTGTCCGAGTTCCTCCCGCCCGGCAGCGTCTCCACCAGCAGATAGTGTCACGCTGTAGCTCTGTTTGCCCCTATTTCAGCTTTCCTTGAGTAGCAGCACTGCCCTGTCTGATTTGCATTGCCATACTGGGGTATTAAGGAACCCCTCATTCTTATTAAAGAACTTTGTTCTCTAGCTAGTTTCAGGGGTAAAGCAACTTCTCTGTAGCTGAATAAAAATCTGAAAATAGGAATGACCATGATCATGGTGAATTAATGCAGTGTTGTTTCTAGTTCTACTCCACCCCCTTTTTTCAAAATATATGAATCTAACTTTAGTCAGCTCTTGCATTTTTTTCAACACTTCCATTCATTTAACACACACAATTCTTGCTAAATCAGCAAGGTTTCATTTTAGATAATTTTTAAAAAAGCACTTAGGCTAAAGTGTACTGCACAGGTGAGGGAACTGGAGAATTAAATCTCATTACCACCATATTTGCTGGTGGAGTAAAAATGCTGTCTCATGACCTTTGTTTAAATGAGCATCCTACCTGTAACTAAGGGAAAGTGTTTTTAAATGAGGAAACAGTTGAAATGGGAGTTAATAGGGCACTGGGATATTATTCATGGTTTAATTAAATACAAGGTTAATTCAAGTGAATTTTACAGTTTAAACTTTATTGAAAGATCCTTTTTTGATTTGTTTAAAATCTTAAATAAATTGCACTTTAAAGGATTATAGATAATCCATTTTTAAATTCAAGTACATCAGTGTTTGTTACTATGCAGAGAATGTCTGTACAAAGTTTCATGTAACCTGTGATATTAGTCATTTTTATTAAAATGTTAATGGAATTGCTCCAGCAGTGTGGTGGTGGGTGCATTCAGCTAGGATTTCACCTGCAAGGCTGACTTCTCGGGAATGAACAGCGCTTCTATGAGCGGGGAATATCACGAAAGCTTCACTCTGACAGCTCCTGGCCTGTAACTGGAATAGGACTGAGCCCTTCTGCCTGCTCGCACAGGTAAGCATCTCCTCCTCCCCATTAACTGCAAAAGGCAGTTCAGCCATGATACAGAGCTGTTTATGCCTATAGCAAGTTTAATAATGCATAAATTTTGGCAACTCAAAATATTTTTACTGCTTTAGGTGGTAACTAGTGAAAAAAGTTATTTTCAATCACATACTGAAGATGATCAGTACCTTTATTTAAGCCACCCTGCAGAAGTTTTACTGCACAAGTCAATAGTTTTCTTTAAACATTTTAGCCATCTCTAACACTTACCACAGTGTTTTAAAATGCCTTTGTACTGATAGTTGCACTTAAGTTGTGATGCTGAAAAACAAGGCTTCACTCCACTCTGGTTTAATCATTCACCTTTAATAAGCTTTGCTACCACAGGACCCCATGGCAGTTCACCTGACCGTCTCCACAGTCACGTTTATCACCTCTAGTCTGATAATTACAAGACAGGCAAAAGCAGAGGGTTTATTCTCCCTCTGAATTCAGAATAGGATTTCTCCATATACAGTAACACCAATCCACTTGTACTATTGAAGTACAAGCTGACTTACAAATAAGCATTACTACATCATCACGTGGAAGTATGGCTTAGAGGATACCCCCATTACACACAGCTATATAAATATTCAGGGAGGTCATAATGTTTTTCCACTGTACAAAAGTTCATGTAGCTATACAAGAGTTATGCATTCAGCTCGTCATACAACATCAATGGTTTTTAAAGCAGGACTTTAAAATATGTATTTACAATTTAGATATTTAAAGTTTTCTTCACTGCAAATATTATATCCTTTACTTGAGGTATGCAGTTATCTTCTAAAATTTTTGCATAAGGCATTGGAACATCTGCACCTGTAACACGGACAGCTGGAGCATCCAAGTAGTTAAAAGCAGGCCCTGAAACAGAAGAGAGCTGTTAGTTTGCCACATTTGGTAGTTTTCTCTCCATTCAGTTTCTGAATCCTAAACAATTTCATTCTTGCAGTTTTAATATTCCAGAGCTAGCTGTTCTTGGATTACTTATCTTCATGTCCTAAGGGTTGGATGGAAAGTTACTATCCTGCTTATTATACAGTCAGATTCTTGGGATAAAAATTATCCCAAGTTAGATAAGCAAGATGGCCAAACTCAAGCTCCTCCGATACAACACCCCATCTTTATCTTACATGCATTTGGTTTATCAAGCACTTCATGAAGAAGTCATGAGGACTTAGAGTAACCCATCAAATGAACAAATATACTACAAAACTAAATACCTTCCATGATCCTGGCACAGATTTCAGCTCCTACTCCAAACTGTGGCCATCCTCCTTCTACAGTTACAAGATGATTTGTCTTTACGACGCTGGCTTCTATTGTTTCTATGTCCATTGGTCGAATGGTACGCAGATTTATAACCTTAAAGACGGCAAAAGAATCAGTTTTGCTACCATCTAAGCCTGTCAGGTACTACTGCCTGGGTACCAAATCCTCTGTCATTTTCAGCTGTTCTGACTTCAAGGATAAGATTTCAAGTCAACAAAATTATAAACTCTTTATCCCAACAAGCTTTTTACAGAATAGTTTCTGTTGGTTCCTTGGAAGTCCCAGGCATCAGTCTTGCTATATCTACATCTAGCCATGCTGATCATAGTATACTGTTCTGCTTAACATCATACACAGCTTCAAAGATTCTGCCTTAACTTTGTGATGAAAAGGTCAAATGCAGAAAACACGAATTGCAAGCACGTGGCTCACTGATTCTGAACACATTTAAAAACATAAGAAGTCAATTCTTAAGACAGTTAAGCTTTGCAGGGCCTGAACAAGACACACTACCTTTATTTATTTATTTATTTATTTATTTAATCCCAGACTGTGGAAAGGGGAAAGCATCAAAGATCTCTCTCCATACCTCGCACTCAACACCTTCCTTGGCAAGTACAGCAGCAGCCTCCAAGCAGTGTCCCACAGGTCTTGAGTGTGACACTAAAGTAACGTGTGTTCCTAGAAGGGAAAGGAGAGAGACTGAATTTTTCCTCTAACTTCCATATTCTTTTCAAGATAATGTCAGGATGCTCTTGTAAATTTAACAATTCGCCATTTCAGTTAAAGAATTCTACAGCCACAGCCTGGAAAACGGCAGTGGAAGGACTATGTCAAGACCAAATCTGCACCCTTGAATTTAGGGAACTGAAAAGAGACTGAATATACTTCTTAAATTATTCCTTTTAAACCTTCAGATAACTCAGTGTTAAATTATGAACAGCCTACTCCGCGTTCCCTAGTCTTTTTGGGAAAACAAACAAACAAAAACCATAAAACCACCCAAATTTCTCAAGTGGGGAAAAAAAAGCTTTTCAGACATTACCTACGGCTGTGTTCTTATATAAAAGTCTTCTAGGAAGCTACAGATTTCAACGGGACAATGAAAACCAAGGTATGTTGCTTTATATAGGGCGCAGAAAAATACCATCAGTATCCTATAGGATGAAGTAACATTTAGCATCTGAAATGTTTTCCTGTTGTCTGTGAAAGCAGTGCTTTAAGGGGGTAAAAAGAAAAACCACACCCACCAAACCTCTCCTTGAGCAATTCAGTTAGTAAGAATACATTAGCTGTGTTCACAGCTTACCTTGCCTTTCTACTTTGGCCTTTCCAATTGGAACAAGAAAATCCTTTGACTGTGCCTCTTCCGACATTTCAAAGGGAACACCGTACAGCAGTTCATTCTCCAGCATCACAACTAGAACAAGACTGGCTTGGATTAGTTTGTAGTGCTACAGGCACAGACCAATACTGAGGATGACAGTGCTAGAGCAGACCAGCCCAACCAGGAGCTGAGTATGTTAGGGGCAGGGGAATTTCAATGTTGACTTCACTGTTGAATTATCTTAAAAATTTAAATCACTTGATTAGAACCAGACTTAAGCAGAATCAGATATTTAGCTTATAGTACATGATGGTAATAAGCCTTAATGCTAAGATTAAGGCGTCAGAGTTCTTAAAAAAAAAAAAAAATCACAAAAACTATGAGTTATGCAGACCAGGTGGATAACAGTAACTGACTTACAAAGGCTCTGTTTTTAAAATATAACATGGTAAAGTTTACAGAGCTGAGCGTACAACTCATGTACGGCTAGATGGAATGAAAATGGGAAGGGTCATGTTCTAGAGAACGCTTCTGCAGAACTGCTAATTTCAAAATTAGGTCTTAGATGTTGCACGCATGCTTGTGAGAAAGGAAAGCAGAGGCTGCCCTGCTTTCAGTTTATAACATGATATTCTGAATGTATCGTCTGAATTTCAAGATCTATAAAAATGAATTATACACTCAGCCGCTGTATACATGGAACACCTCCCTGATTTGAGTTTTATCCTCTTAACTTCTTTTATGATAGATTCATAAATGCTTCTTCCAAGTTTTCAGGTTGGTACGAAATTAGGATTAAGGATAAAATTGCTGGCAACCACACAAGATTAGAGCAAGCCATGTGATATAGAAAAAAACAAGGATCAGAATCAATAACTCTGCGCCTTTGCAAGTACCTTAAAGGGAGTAAAGCAGCCTTAAGTGCCTAGGCTTTTGAACATGTATTTTTTTAAATGGGGTGCAAGGTGAAACATGAAGCAACATTCTTTTAAAGTACTAATGCTAGTGATTGCCATGATCTGAGTGTGTTCACCTGGATTATCATCCCGGATGGAGGTTTTCAGCAGACCTTTCGCATCCTCTGAGCTCCACGGACTAACAACTTTCAGTCCTGGGCAGTGCCCGTACCAAGCAGCAAAGCACTGCGAGTGCTGGGCAGCGACCCCAGCGGATGCCCCGTTGGGGCCCCTGAAGACGATGGGCACAGCGATGGATCCCGCGGACATGTAGCAGGTCTTGGCCGCGGAGTTAATGACCTGGTCTATGGCTTGCATGGAGAAGTTGAATGTCATGAATTCACACACTGGCCTCAGCCCAGCCTATCAGAGTCAGGATATGTATTAGTAGGGGGGGGTTTAACATAAGAGCTTATTTTAAGAACTTAATTCAGCAGTAAAGAAATGTAATTTTACCAACCATGGCAGCACCAACAGCAATTCCCGTGAAGCCCATCTTAAACAGAAAGAAAGCCAGGGTAAGCGTCGGGGGGCAGGGAGCATGCGGATTACCACGGTTAGATCAGGCACGGCCGTACCTCTGAAATGGGGGTGTCGATTATCCTCTTGTCCCCAAACTTCTTCCAGAGACCCCGGGAGATCTGCGGGACACGAGAGGGGTGAGCGGCCGCGCGAGGCCGGTTCCCGCCCCGTGACGGCGGCCGCTCACCTTGTAGGCGCCGTCGTACTGGGCCACCTCCTCGCCGAGCAGGAAGACGCGCTCGTCGCGCTCCAGCTCCTCATCCAGCGCCTGGTTCAGCGCGTCGCGCACCGTCACCTGCGGCAGCGGCGCTAGGGCAGCCGGGGGGCAGCGCCCGCACCGGGGGGATGTCTCGCGCCCTCCCGAGCCTCCCCGCACCCCGGGCCTCCCCTTCTTCCCTCTCCGCCGGTACCTGTATGGCGGCGGGCGCGGGCAGCCGGG